TAGGGCCGGCATTTCAGCAATAAAAACTCTACGTCTGGCAAACAGTGCTTATAAACAGTCCATACATCCCCACACCATGAGTTATTGATAAACACACACACACAGACCACCTCCCTTTTACCTTCCCGGAAGCAGTAGTGCGGTCACCTCAATGTAGAGTGTGTGTTTGTAGCTTAATCACAGAGTCTGGAAGGGGTCAGAAAGCCAATTCGCGGTGAGAATTGGAGCACAGCATTCTCTGATTTCCCGTTGTGCTGTAATCCTAGCCCTTAGCTCGTCCAGTTTGTTTTCCAGAGACTGTACGTTAGCTAGGAAGAAGCTGGGTAGTGGCGGTCGGGTAGCGCGAGCTTTTAGCCTAGCATGGAGTCCCCCTCGTTTGCGTCTCTGTCTCCGGGTTGCTCTCCTGATTTCAGCTTGCTCGCTTGTGCCTGGTGCTCCGGGGGCTCCTTGAGGGTCGTGGTGGTTGTTGTTGTTGTTGTTGTGGTTGTTGCAGGAGCGGACAATGTGTTGTAGCTCCCGTGGTATGAAACCAGTAAATTCCCAGTGGCTTTATGAGTTGGCGATATCCAGCAATGCATGTCTGTTGTATGTTAGCAGTGCATGACATTTGTGCACTGCAGGAAAAGTAAAAACACACAAAAAAGAAGAAAATGAAGAAAAAGCTGGCATTCGAGAGTGGAACGTGCAAACACATCCGCCTCGGTGGGCGCCATGTTTGTTGTCCAAACAGAACATACAACTAATATCATTATAGTGTTTGGTAAGATACAACAACACAGATTAACATTTTCCATGTTTTTGTGGAGTTTACCTTAATAAATCTACATTTTTATTTTATTTGAATGTTATGTACTAAGTGAAACTCAATATGAGAATAAGTTCATATTGTATACTTACTACAGCTTCATTCATTTTACCCATCACAGTTTCTCTACAGGATATCTACCATGATTTCTTCTCTGGGTGATTTCTAATCTGTTGTCTGTCATTCTAGGTGCGGCCAATTGTATGACAGGCCAAAAGAAGAACTTGTTGGCCTTGGCAAAGACCTGGTACAACCAGCTCTCTCTCAGCACCTTGAAACTGATGCAAGCCAACAAGGGCATCTCCGGCTTCCACCTGGGCAACATAATTGACGAGCAGCTCATCAGCAGGACGATGTACGAGCTGCTGGAGCTGTACAAGCAGGGAAAGATCAAGCTCCGCATTGACTCGTGCTATCACTTCGAGGAGATTGCCGATGCCATGAAGCGCATGCACGAACGCCAGAATATCAGGAAAGTCATCCTTCTCTCTGAACCCAAGAAGGAAGAAGAGAAGCCAAAGACCAATGCTGAGCCAGGAGAAAATGTGGAAAAAACTGAATCTGTCATTACCGAGGAGGAAGAGGCTGCAGAGGAAGTTAATGCAAAGACGAACTGAGAGAAGGATTTCAAGCACTTCCTTGTCGAGTTGTCAACAAAGGAAAGAAAACAGAAGAAAATCAAGATGCCAGGAATTGTTTGTCTTTGTCACTATTTCCAAATGTGTATCAAGTTTTGTTGTTTGTTGTGCAATATGTTTATAATCTAAGGTTTATGTTGGGAACACTTGTGTTTTAAATAAAAGTTCACTGTTCTGTTGCAGTACCAAAGGAATAATGTATTCTGATTACAGATGACATGCCCCCTGACAACAGCTCAGAAGGAGTATCTGTAATAACCTAAAACCACGGCTGGCATGTATAGAATTGTCCCAATGTACTTTGACTGAGGAGTAAAACAAAATCTTGGTGAAAGTACACGTCATCGTGGTAAAGATTATCCATCGTGCATTTTATAATATGCCTCAGTGTAAGAGGAAAGCTTATATAAAACATTTCCCCCAGTAATGTTAACAGTATCAGTGTGTGCTACTTTTGTTGGCAAAAGGAACTGCAGAATTGTCGATATAATGATGTCAAAATGGCTGAAAACCACAGATGCTGACAGTTAAAATACATTAACACAAATATAATCAGTGCCACAACTGAAGACCTATGTATATAGTCTCATCACTTTGTTTATACCAGGTTACCTTGTTAGAAAATTTCTAAAAGTATGTTGAGAAAGGAGTGAACTAGGAATGCACTGATTGCAATTTTGTGGGCTGATTCCAATTTTATTTTATTTTAAGTCTGACTCACCGATTCTGATTTTCTTTGACAGCATACACAGATATTCTTGTAACTAATGAAAAATTAATTGGTAATAAAAAGTATTAGTTTTACATTTGTCTTTTGTCACTTTTTTTTACAAACCTTTAAAAATGAAGTGCAGTATTTGTACTTCTGAAAAAATGTAATCTGATGCAACAGATAATAGAAACAGAACAGTGTCTGTTACACCAATTCTATTGAGCGCACAGTTTTTTAAAGTGTCTGTAGTTTGTATTTGCTGTGTTTTACCACAGGTTGGATACACTGTACCTATACGTGCATTCCACGTGTAGCCAGTAATCCCTTCGCTGTGTACCGTTTGTCGGAGATCTGGACATAGTTTACCTTCTCCAGGGTGTTTCTGTAGGCTCCTCTGTGTTTGGGTTTTTTGTACACTAGGCGCTTTTAGTACACAAGTGAACACGTGCCTAGTATAGATATAAGTGCTAGCCTTGCTTGAGGTGCACATGAGATTCTACATGCTACATGCGCTGTGCTCTTAGTTCGTGCCACTGTGTGCGCAACGTGAGCTGTTGTGCCTCTAAATCTGATTGGCACAGAATTGGAAATCTCAGAGTGATCACCCAGTCACCGGTGAAGGCCATTTTCAATCAACGCCGATCGATTGGTGCATCTCTAGCCCTTTCATGCACAGTGGTCTCCACAGTGGACAGCTATAAAACTGTTTTCTTGTATGTGTATGGGTTCTGATTGTGTAGTTGCATATCACCCGCTACAGTGGACGCTAGTGTGTCATCCCATACTCTGCCACCCACCAGTCAGCCATTGTTAAGAGGCAACAATAATTTCTCAAAACCAAGATGGCCGACCGAAAGCCAGAAAGACTGAGTAGCTTAGGAATATCTTGTCAGTCTTTCTATAGGAGGAGATTCATGGAGGGTAAAAACAAAAACAAAAAAACAATATGGTAACACCTAAAGAAACAGATTTGTTGTTGGGAAAATTAATTTGTCCACTAAATTGGAAAAATGCATGTAAAAAGAAAAGAAGTTCAATTTTTATCTTTTCATGCCGAAAGAGTAATTAAAAACACTGAGGGGGAAAAAATCGTAACTGCAGCTTTCATAATTCATGCTAGAGTAAACAAACCCATTACGTTTGGAACAGTAGAGACAACACAGTTTTATTTTTTCCATTAAGATCGGTTACATTTTATTTATATAACAGTCATCAAAATTAGTGCCAACAAAATTGGTCTAATACATTTGTGTAATATCCTAACATCTCTATATACATATACTTTACAATACATACATGCTTGAAAGACAGTTTACCAGAAGTAAATCTAATTACAAAAGCCTTAGGATGACACTGATCTGTTAATCAAGCGGGTCATTTCATAGGTGAGGTGCCAACAACAAAAGCTCTGTCCTTTATACAGAGTAACACACTCATAAAATGACAAAGCCGCACCCTTGCAAAGTCACTTACAGAGTTGTGCATCATACAGTCAGACAATAGGACACACATTCTGACTCGTACTGAATTAAATCACTTAGAGGTGAGGAGACCCATAATTCTTGCCTGATGTGGAGTCATAAACCTTGGCAGGTCCAGAAAGCTCCTCTTAGAAAGTCACACACACAGTTTTAACACGCATACAAACAAGCACACCACTACAGATTTACAGCCTGCTGTGCACCAAGCCCCTTTTTTTTTTTTCCTGCTCTCTCGTCTTACTGTCAGCTGCGCCAAAGCAGAATGCTCTGTACATCACACCGTCATCTACTGTCAAGTATTACCATCTGGCGTTGCGTTTGCTTCTCCAAATGCCATTTAAACAGACACATACCAGAGGCCTTTTAGTTCGTCATTCTTGGATTTTGGACGTTTTAGCTGATGCTCTTAACCAGAGTGACGATGTTTGGAGAGTGAGTGAGTAGCTGCTCAACATCTTGTGCAGGGTTTTTCAAGGATGCTTTGGCTGTTAAGGTGGATTAACCTTTGAGTTATGAGTCTGTCTAAACACTAAGCATCACCACTCTGCCTTTTAATTATATATGTATGTTTAAAGCATGACTCATCACCTCTTGCGCACTCTGACCACAGGCCATGGATGTGGTGGATGGCCGTCGCCCCCCCTTCCCGCCGCATCGCTACAGCAACGGTGGGGACACGCGTGACACGGACACACAGGCCCCCTCCAGCGGTGACTCTAGCCCATCGCCCCGTCCCTGCAGCTCTGACCACCGCCACTCCCCTGATGAAAGTCCCTGTTCTACAGAGGAAATTGACAAAGGTGTGTCTTTACTGTTTGACAGATGCACCCTTAGTGTTCAGGGAATTAAAGGGCAACTCCACCAGTTTTACACATCAAAGTCTGTTAGTGCTGTTGCATATGTTAAGGTTGTATAAAAGCTTTTGTGACTCCACTGGGAGCTGCATAGAGTTTGATAAATTGCTTTATTGGTTGGATCTGAGGATTAAGTTTCAAAGTGAAAAAAAATCTGGTGGTATAGAGCTGAAAAGAAGTGATCTTAGCAGACCTATGTAGCCTGCTTGAGGCTCCAGGCTCCATTAGCTGCTACTAGCATAACAAATCTGAATCCCCAACCAAAATGTCAGCATTTGAGTTGCATTGTGGGTAATGTAGGCTCCAAGTTCTGACAAAGAAGATGACTGTGTTGAAATAAAAAGACCTATGGTAAATCCCAGTACTCTTATTTGATACTTGCTCGATCCAGAAGTCATTCTGGTCTGCCATCTTGAAGGATGTCCCACAGCTTTTATTCCTGCTCTGAGCACCAAGGAGGCTGCCTGGAGGAAATGAGCAAGGAAGCACAAGACCTTCCTTTGTAAACATCTTTTCTGGACCAACATGGGCCTTTATTAGAAATAGGTTGGTGATGCTTCAGATGAAGGATCAGAGGAAAAGAAGTCTTATGTCTTTATGAGCGTTTCCTCAGTTCTTCTCTCCTTGCATTTTTTCCAGTGCTTCTTTGCACCCTACATGGGCTGGACTAAGGCACAAGGAAAAGATACAAATGAGATAATCATGGATGCAGTTGAGGGAATTGGGACCCGCCACAGGTATCTGTGCTGGTCTGTTGCTTCAGTTTGATACTTTAACCTGTTTATTACTGGAGTACTGCTTTACAACATTGATAGGGGATTAATAAAGATTAATGATTAATAAAGAGGTTTTAGTGATTTTGCTGATATCCAGAGCTGTGGCTTTGTCATATTCTACCTGCATGCATATTAAAATAAAAACACTGGCAAAGAGTTACGAGACACGCACACTGAAAGCTTTCCCATAATAGTTTGTTCCCATTTGAAATGCAATTCTTCAAAGCTGGCATCAGTATTTTTGTTTGCAGCAGTTTCTGATTTAAATCATAACTATGCCAGTTTTAGATGGTCTGTCTTTATTTAGGCAAAGCTTTGTGTATGACAGTTTGTATTTACACAAGAATTTTGAGTTTTTTTTTTTTTTTTCCTCATTGAAAATCGTGTTTGTTGAAATGTAGATGGTTATGCTCCATATTAAGAGAGTGAATGATTTAGCAACAGCGCTGAAGCTCTGGTTTTGTGTTGGCACTGGAAATTTTCAAATCAATCAACTCTACTTAAGCTTATTGCAGATCCTAAGCACTGGTACCCAAGTTTTTGTTTTTCTTATGTTTATTCATTATAACTAAAGAGATGCCAAGTAAACATGTACAATTCTTTACTGTATTTCCAGACAGTTTGTGCAGTTCTCCTCTCCCCAAGTTTGCCACTTCTCCCAAACCAAACAACAGCTACATGTTCAAGCGGGAACCCCCAGAGGGCTGTGAGAGGGTCAAAGTGTTTGAGGAGTTGGTGTAAGTTGTGTGTGGGTTCTTTTTTTTTTTTTTTTTTTTTTTTTTTTTTTTTTTTTTTTTTTTTTTTTTTTTTTTTAAATGCACCCTCATATTTGACATTTTGTTGCTTCACAGTTGTGCTTTTGTCTACTGTGCAAGTACTGAGCACACTGATAAGGAAAAGAAAAACAAGCTAGTTTACAGTACTTTTTCATGGACTCTGAAGCTAACACACATATTTGCATTGTGGGTAGCAGGAACAAGGGCAAAATGGCTGTGTATTATAAACAGCTTGTGTTTAATCAGAACGTGTGTGTGTGTATATGTATGTGTGTGTGTATAGATAGAATACTGAGCTTATGTTTTGTTGTCCTCAGGTCTGGCAAATCAAAAGGCTTCCCTCTCTTCTCATGTCCGGACAAAAACAAGGTGAACTTCATTCCCAGGGGCTCTGCCTTCTGCCCTGTCAAACTCCTTTGCTCCTCCCTCTTCTCCCCTGTCTCTCCCTTGTCCTGCTCCTCCGTCAACCCTAGTCTCCATGGTAACGGCAGCCCCGGACCT